GCCTAGACTTGAAATCTTTTATTCTGTTCATGATATTAGGAATTAAGAAGGCACTTATTAATATGTGGCATCTTAGAATCATGCAAATATGCAGTATTTATTATTTTTTCTCTTTTAACTGAATGTAAAAGAAAACAAATTCATTTCTAACGTTACATTTACACATTTATTTCACATGAATATTAGAAAAATGTATATTCCCAAGCAATTTTACAAATATTCATTTGATTTTTCAGAAGTCTTGTAAATGTTTTTTTTTTTCCATCCTTTTCTAAAAAAAAGGCAGTTTATGAACATTATAAAGAGTTATACATAAACCTAATATAAAGAATGCTGTAACACCTACTGAAAATTTGGCAATTCCTTTTCTGCTAAGCTAATATATGAAAGGCAGCAGACATTTTAAATGCTGCAGCACACTAAGAATTCTGTAAAACAGTACTGAATCAATAAAATGAGAAAAAAAAAAAAAAAAAAAAAAAAAAAAAAAAAAAAAAAGCTTAAGAGATTCTTGCATAATTTTGTCATTCTTACCACTTACACAGCAATCTGTTTTTACTTCCAAAAAATTTCAGAATTGCACTAATTTGGCACTGTGCATGCTGCTATTCTCTCCATGTACAAAGCAATTTATTTTTGCTTAAAAACTTAATATAGCTTCAGCATCCAGCACAAATTTCAGTTCATAAAATCTATGTAATTTCAAGCACAACTTCATGGAATGTGAATTTTTTTATTTTCTATTGTTGGACAAAACATGATATTTCTGAAGAAGTGGAATGTTTCCTTTTTTTACAAGCTGGTAAACTCCACAGCCCTATTAAAATTCCTTATGTTTTCAATGCAAAAACAAGTACTACATGACTGTCGAATTTTAAGGTGGAGATTTGCTCGCGTGCTGCACATACAGGTTTCCACATAAGTACATTTTGGTGACATAGTGCATTGCCTTACGAATGCTTTTCAGAGGGTGTGGATAATGAAAACCTAAATTTTATTTAATAACAATACTTATTTTTCTAATTTGATAGTTGTAACTATATCCTTTTTACATTAAAAATGAGAATTATGACTATTATTAAATATAGATGTCTTTAATTTGGAAAGTACTTTTAAGAACTTGAGACACAATATTCAATAAATTAACCCTTAGCGCTCCGCACATTTTTGTACCACTGCCCACCAGAAACTCCAGCACATTTTCGCAGCGGAATGCAGCATCCAGAATATCTGCATAAATCTCTTTTCTTGTAAACATTTTACCAAAGAAAGGGATGTGACAATTCTTCTTAACTGACCAATAATCCTGCATATTCGCCAGGGGTATCGTACCCATATTGATAATAACTCCAATAAAAGCCCAAAACTCATCCTCTTCCACCGCATGCCACGTTTTCCAAATAGAATTACTAGATATTTCTTTATTCTTTAGAACATTTTCTGCATAATTGTTGGTTTCTTTTATAATTTCATTACCAAATATTGTGTTGGCTGTACAATATTTGTAGGGATTTGTGTTCCAATGACTTTTGACAATACACTAAAATGTATTCTATCCGGAATATCTAATTCTTCCGTGATATCGCGCCATTCATTTAAGTCTTCCGGCGACTCTTCGCTTTCACTTTCGATAACTACCATTCGCCGTCGTCTCTTTGGTAGTATAATTTCGGAACCACAACTTGAAGTGTCGGAATTATAATCAACATTGTCTTCCACAATATCTTCTAACAATGAAAAATCAAACACATCTTCACTATTACTCTATATTCTCATCACAATAATTATTTTTCTCTATGTTGCTAACCATAAAATGGGTAAAATAATGTTTCAATCGTAACAGTAGCGAGACTGAGCACATTTTAACTACAGATAACAATTGCCAACGCCGACGATTCCGTAACATCTTGCGCCTAATCATGCTAAAAACATTGGGCTCCACAGTGGAGCCTACGGAGTTACGGAACATATGACGGACGGCTCCGTAGCGGAGTCAATGGAGCGCAAAGGGTTAAATACCAAGCACACAATTATTGAACTAACAGTTCTCATGTCACAATTCACATTTTCAAGTTTCATCACATAATTAACATACACTGCTCAACATTAAAAATGCAACACCAAGAAAGAGTGGTCAGAAATTTATGCTAACTTTAGAGTAGACGCACGTCACCGAGTTATGCGAATGATGTGAAATGCGCAGCTCTCCGACGCATGTGGAGTAAGATATAAGGGAAGGAACCTGCAGAATGGGCAATATTCGTGTCATTATTTCTGCCAGACAAATTATTGAAGAAAGTTGGTTTTTGTCCTGGAGGATACGTGTGATAGGAGAGAATGCCAGGCCGTCGTCAACGAAGGCACTTCCAGCAGATAGATGATTTTACGAGGGGTACGGTGATCGGTGTATGTGTGATTATGGCAAAGCCTCAAAGGCTATCTGCCTAAGGAAAGGGATACCTTTTGTGGAGGGCTTTCTAAGGGAAACTGGCTCGTACACACGCGACACATGGGGAAAACCACGAAAACGCCCATGCAGACAGCCCGTTTGCGGGATTCGAAGATTTGGTGATCGGACTGAGAAGGGTGGGTTGGTCCTTATGTCAAATCACAACTGATACCCACACGGATGCGAGTACGGTGCGTTGGCTATGGTGAACACGGTTGGAACAAGGAAATGTGGGAAGAAGGAGGGGTGCAGGTGCAGCCAGAGTGACGTCAGCACGCGTGGATCGACGCATCCACCCGACAAGCTGTGGTGGTCCTGCAAGTCACTTGTACCATGATTCTGCAGCATGTGCAAGATACCCTGGATGTTCCCGTGTCAACCAGAATCATTTCCTGTCGATTGGTTGAATGTGGCCTGCATTCACGGCGTCATTAAGAAGACTGCCATTGAACCCACAGCATAGACGCCAACGTTTAGAATAGTGCTGGATTGAAGCAATGTAGATGACAGAATGGCGAAACGTCGTGTTCTCAGACGAGTCATGCTTCTGTTTATCCAGTGACAGTCGCCGCATACGTGTGTGGCGTCGACGTGGAGACAGATCTAATCCGGCAGTAACTGTGGAATGCCCCACCGTGCGACTATGTGGCATAATGGTTTGGGGCGCTATTGCCTACGATTCCAGGTCACCTCTAGTTTGTATTCAGGGCACTATGACGGCCCAACGATACTTGGATAATGTACTGCGGCCCGTGGCAACCCCGTATCTTCAGGGGCTGCCTAATTCAATTTTCAGCAGGATAACACAGTGCTCGCATCTGCCAACATGCTCTGCAAGGTATGCTTCCCTGGCCACCGTACTCTCCTGACCTGTCACCAATCGAACATGTGTGGGATGTGATTAGACGCCGTTTGCAGACTCTGCCCCTGTCTCGTTCAGAACACGAACTGTGGCAAATGGTTGAAAGGGAATGGAGAGCCATCCCTCAGGACACCATCCACTCTCTTATTGACTCTATGCCTAGACATGTTTCTTCACGCATCGCTGTCCGTAGTGGTCCTACATCCTACTGAGCCGACGCCGTTCTCGCTCTGTATTCTGACTATCATTTTGATAAAGATCATTTATTGCTGCTTGCTCTGTCTTTTTTCCAAATTTCATCATTTTCTGACCACTCCTTCTTGGTGTTGCATTTTCAATGTCGTGCAGTGTATATACTATAAAATTAAGTGCACATCGTATTATTATTGTAATTATAGGGGCACAGCGCAGATCCACCTAGTCGATTTATCTCTCTTATTTTCTTGTCCTTTGCTAATGATAAGAATGAAGAAAAGCCATTAACTATCATGCCTGCTGATTTTCCATCAAAATTTCTTCTATGAGCAATAAAAATTCAAGTGCTTTACAAGGTCACCAATATATTACAATAACAAAATACACAACTTTGCTTGGAACAGAGTTCTCTATTTTAACCACTTTTCACACTTTTTAAAGGGTGCATAATGCCCAAATCAATAAATATATACAAAATTATAAATAAGAAAATAAGCTAACCAGTGCACTTCAGAAAATTATACTTTGTTTCTCTGACCATTCTGAAATATGTTTATCAATTTCACGCTGCTCTGCGGGGAAGGGGGGGACATCATGGCGCACAATTAACTGGAAGTTGATCTGTCAGCACTATCGTTACCTTCAGGGCAGATGTTTTTATTTTATTCGGCTTACAATTCCTTACTAAATGTAGTATTTCATCTACCAAATGTAGTATTCATCTCCGTCTTTGATACGATTTAAATAAAATTCCTCGTCATTATAAATATCACAAATACACATCAAACAGTTCTCTGGTTGCAATTTTCTAATTTCGACTATGCGTAAAGTATGCTTTACGCATGCGCGCGTTGAAAGAAATGTTTAATAAAGTAAACAAATACATATTAAGCTTTTTTTTGTACATTTTGATATCCTTTAGATCATAACTTCTCTTTATTTCATAAATTACAGTTTCATATTTTTAATTTTATAATTTTTGCATGCCATTTTACCAGATTTAAACTGATGACCTGTAATCCGGAAAGACCGATAATCTGGAATGGCCGAAGTCACGACGAGTACGGATTAAAGACTTTTGACTGTATAAGAATTATAAGACACAATTAATTTTGAAATGATACAGTTTAAAGTACTTTATTTTAAGCAGTTACTATTTTTAGGATAGAAAAGGTATAAATTAAAATGAGGAAATATAGCAAAATAAAACAAGAATTTTGTTCACTCTCCTTCCAATATATATATATATATATATATAATACACATAAAAAGTAAGAATTATGATATATTTAAATTATTTATAGAAATTATGATAAAACTAACATTGATGAGGTGAACACACCCCTTCCATGCCACAGCCATGTGCTTGTATTAGTAAAACCATATAGCTCTGAAATAGCATTTTTCACCTGATTCCACATAATTCCTGCAAGTTTCCTTACTACAAATTTGATATTAAAATATTATTTTATGCATAATAAATAAAAAAACTACTCAAATTTTAAAGTGTTATTTTAGTATTATAATAAAAACTTTCTTGAAGCATTAGTTTAGGTACCACTAATCAACATTTCAGTCTTTTGATTATTAAATAAGCCATAGAAATCCAAGACATTAAGTACTTGTAATAGTTTAAAATACATACATTTAAAGTAACATTTGCAATAATGATTATACTTTACAAATCTCATTATTATTATAAAAACCAGCATTACTTGCATAAATGAATAACTTTAAAAACAGGGACAGTGCTATAACACAAAAATAATAAATATCTGCAAAGGTGACAACATGGACTGTTTCATGCCCGAAATGGAGAGTATTAATAAAAGAAAAGTGCTTATTACATTTAAGTAATTTTCAATAAGCAGCTTAGAATTAAAACCTCTTACAATACTTCATACAAAGTTTTTCTTTCACAGTGCTCTATATAAAATTTCCTTATTAGAACACTTAGATTTAAAAACAATGTATACTCGGATAAATATCATTATAACTCCCTTTATACAATTTATTTGTATACTGTTCTTTTCAACTTCTTTCTCACTCATCATTCATTCCTCAATTCAGGATGAAGTTTTCTTCAGTTTTATTTATTTCAGGATCCATATTACTGACTTTCTCTTTTATGTCCAGAACATAATTAGACAGTTTGTTACAGGATGGGATATCCTTATAATTGTTCTTTGGAAGATTATCAAAATCTAATTTTGTATCTGAAGCAAAGAATGCAATATTCATTTTCTCTAGTGATAATGCACTTGTATTTTCCAGTACAAAATCATTAATGAGATTATCTGATTTAATATGACAGATATCAAGTAGAATTCTCCACCTTATTTTCTGAACTTTTAAGAGCCTGTTCTAAAGGAAGTGCTTCTTGTAAAAGAGAATTAGGTTTCTGCAAGGAAATACTTCCAGACTGATAAGAAGGCAAGTTAATTCCATTTGTTTCTGACTGTTTATTTTCAGGAATTGGTTGCGCATATAAGCGAGCTGTTATTTCAGCTTTCTTTATGTTCTTACGATGTATGTCACTAGACATATGCTGCTCAAAAGGAATAGGCCCACTGCAATTTTTCTGGCATGTTCTGCAATACCAATTTTGTAAGGCTGCTCCATTTGCTGGTAACACCTCTTTACTATTTAAGGCCTGAGGGTCTGCACTTACTCCCACAAGATTATTTATTTTTCCAGGTGACAAATCCAAGCTAGGGGTTTCATTAATTTGAGTTAAATTTTCAATTATTTTTTGTGAAACTTCAATTTTTCTCAAATTTTTACGATGAACTTCACTGGACATATGTTGCTGATAAGGAATAGGTCCTGTGCACCCTTTCTGACATACATCACAAAACCAATTTGTGGGTACAGAGGTTTTTGCTGTATATTCCTTTGAAGCATAAATACCCGTGTCAGTGTGCTTATACACAACATTTAAAGTCGTATCTGCTTCAGTAATAATTATGTTGTTTGATAATCCACTATCAAATGCATTTTTTGATGCACTCCCACAATCGGTAGTTGATGTTTCTTTTAATTTTTCAAGTAAATTTTCAGACTGTACTTTTTTTCTGTGTGTTTCACTATTTAAATGTTGTTCAAAAGGAACTGGGCCAGAGAAATTTTTATCACAAGTTTTACAAATTAGAGTATTTATAATACCATTTGATGAGCTGCTGCTTGCTGTTAAATTCCACACGGCAACTTTTCTTAAATGAGCAGCACTCACTATATGTTGTTGGTAAGGTTCTGGACCACTAAATTGCTTTTGACAAATGTCACATGACGAATAAAATACATTACCTGATGTATTATATTTCTGTGAAGGAACATTTTGCAGCCAAGAAGATTTTCTATTATCTTCCATGAATTTATCATTAAGGACAGAATTTCCATTATTATTACCCAAAGGATTTTGCTCACTTATATTGTTAACTTTATTTTCATTTGCCTTCTCTTGTATTTTATTAGCATGCTCTAACGTTTGACAATGTTCCAACAAATATTTAAGATCTGAATAAGAAATGTTACACAAGGAACAATGAAATGATTGTTCCATTTTCCAAAGAAATAAATATACCTGAAAAGTCAAAGATTTAAACAACCATACATATTTGATTCCTGTTTAGTATATTTCATATTACTGGTCCCAAATAGCCAGGTTAAGTATCTGTAAATAGAGAAATATTAAAAAAAATAATCAGAATTTTGGTTCAAAAGAATATCTTATTTCATATTTAAAAGATTTATTAGCATGCAATATGTAAATATAGCAAAATTTCAACAAAATATATGCACAAAAGATTTATCCAATTCATTACATGTTCAATAAATACCATAAAATATTGTAGTATTATAAAAAGTAAATAAATCGCAATAAGATCATAAAGTTCCCAGATTTTCTAATCATATTTTTTTAAACTTAAATGACTTATTTTTTTTAACTTCATTAATGCTGTTAAGAAAACTTCATGAAGTTTGTTAAACAGTCGATATTTGAAGGCCAGAAAATAAACAACAAATTTCTATCATAATTTAATAATCTAAAACCTATATTGGTGTTTTTTTAGTTTGTCCAGGCTCTTATATTATTGATTATCAACTTCTTTGGTAGCTGGGAGAATAATATGAAACAAAACTCATATAAATGAAAAACAGGAAAAAAAAAAAAAAAAACGGCTGTGGAAAGCTTATGAACTTTTACTACCAATACATCTAATGAAGATGACACAAACGACTAGTGATATGAAGGAACAGAAAAGTAGAAGAAATTAGAAAGTATGGCAAAAGTATTAGGATCAGTAGGGAAAATCCTCATAATTGTCAATATTTTGCCGAATTTATAACCTTTTTAGAAAAATCTATTTGTAAACTAAAGAATTAAAAAAGTTTTTTTATTAAATGCTACAACTTTGACAATCTGAGATCACTCATCATTCAATTAAACTTCATATTGAACAAACATATTTTGAACTAAAAAAATACAGCACAGTTGCATAAGTGATGAAAGGGATATTTTTTACAGCCCACAGCATGAAGTTGTCACTCAGTTCTGACTATTGATGGTCATGGCTATCTACAAAAGCACCTTCACCATATCGGCAGTTACAATTATCTATATTGTCCTCTTTATAACATGCTGGAACAGAATATCCACATCATTATAGAACAGTAAGGAGACTACAAAACAGTCTTGTACTGCTAACATACAGAACTTCAGAGCCAAGACTTCAATTTCTTACAAGAGAGTGTTTACACGTTTTTAGAATAATTTTGCAAAAGAATTTAAAAAAAAAAAAGAGCAAATGTTTTGGAATAACAATTCTTGTAAAGAGCTTATTATTTCCAATGAGAATTATTGTCTGCTACTCTTTTAATTTACTCCTCAAAATGTCACATGTAAATAAACTATGGACTGAACAAGAAGTTTTTGCACTTTCTGAAGAGAAATATTCCTATTCCATCAAAATGCACACAGATCAGTCCCATTGGTTTTTGTCTAATAAAACTGCTCATCACTAACAGTGCACGGTTGAAGCTCTGCTAAAAGTATCAGCTCTAGAACTGCTACAGTTTTCCAAACAGTAAGGTATAATATAAGGCAGCATTTCTTAAACTGTAGGTCGCGAGACCTGCAGCAAGGGGGGGGATCCGCCAAAAAATTTAGCAGTTTTGATATTTCTTTAACTTATAATAATTTAACAATGAAAAATATTTTTACACAATGTATCTGAAAATAGAGATAAAGATAAGACAATACAGACAAAGAAAAAAGTAAAATGTTTTGACACATTCTTTTTATAATAGAAACGCTAATTTTTGCATGTGACGCTCTCATTTTGTCTGTTACTTATTTAAAATTTTCACAATATTCTATGTCTTAAAATTAGAAATTAAAGTTAATGTATAAGGTATTTCTCCCACCTTCTTGGCATGCCTTCGTGGTGTAGTGGTCTGCACGCTGGGCGCGTATTCCAGAGGTCCACGGTTTGATTCGTTGCAAATTTTTCATCACTCCTCCTTTAAAAAAGTTCTAAACTCTCTACAAATGACCTAAACTTGCAGTAGTATATTACAGTACAAGTGAAAAAATTGACAGTTTCACACACACACGTGTTGGATTTGCGCAATGCTTATGGGGCCCCACAAAATTTTCGTAAATATTATGGGGTCCTAGGGGTCACGAAAAGATCTCAGTGATAAAAAGAGAATGCAACTGAAAAAAGTTTAAGAAACTCTGATCTAATGAGCCATGTGCACCTTAATGTGCATGGGTTTAATCCTAGTATACAGTACACATGGCATTTGGTGACATAATAATGAGCAGTAAATGGGTCATTTTGGTGTTGGCAACAATTTTCAAAATCATGCCTAGGCTAAACCATATTACTAGGATTTTACCATCGCATGTACACTGCCCAAAGGAAAGGGGAAGGGAGTTCTATATCTCCCCTTCTACTAAGCGGATTGGCTAAATTCAAATTGCATTTTTCATGTCTCGAAAGCACGATTTAGGATATATATTATAGTATATACATATAGCATTGCTCTAATATAGGTATTCTGACACAATATCAGACTTATTCTGAAATGACATGCCATTTTTTTTCCATATATTTCGATTCTACGATTCAAATTATGCCAAACTGTCAAGTTTTGTAGAAATTGCATGAGTAGTTTTTAAAAAATTAGCTCTTAAAATTTGAGCTCCTCAATGTTAATTGAATTTGATATATATTTATTAATAATCTCTTTTTTATTAAATTTATTCAATTCCTTCTTCCAGAATTTGAAATTTAGGGTTCATTCCAAATAAAATTTGTCCATGTTTATGATCTGTATTTTTAAAATTTATATTTTAAAATAATTTTTTTATAAATTTTTCAAAAAACATTTTGAATTATAACCTATAAAACCTTTACCACAAATTCCCTAGGATATACGTGAATTTACCTATTAGAGCATTTTGAAATTTGGCATAATAGTTAATAAGTGATAACAACGCCAAATGTGGTATACACACTTTGTTAAAATTATTTGAAGTAACCAACACTGACATTTTTTTGGCTCATTTACAATGAAAAAAGGTTGCCATAAATTACGAAGTTCGCCAAGTGAGTTATTCTTGGCGCAAACATGAAAAAAAATGTGCCAAGGGAAATTTTTGAATTTCTCCGTAATTTTGAAAAATTTAATATTTAGACACGATTTGAATCGTAAAATCGAAATATGGAAACAATTCGGCATGTCATTTCAGAAGAGTCTGATTTTGTGTCAAAATACCTATATTAGAAAAATGCTATATATATATCTTAATGTATATTCTAAGTCATGCTTTCAAGATATGAAAAATGCAATTTGAATTTCGTCAATCGGCCCAGTAGAACAGGAGATACAGAACTGTGCCCTTATGTTTTTTACAGTGTACTTGGACATGCATGGCTTAATCTTTGAGACAAACATGTAACTACTGGCAGGATCAACCAGGTAGCTTTTTAACATTCATAACATGTTGAAGCTGCACATAACTCAATTCCACCAATGACAACATACACCTCGGAAATGCGTTCGAAGCCACTGTTTCATGACAACCCTTATTTATTTCACATACATGGAATCTTAGTTCATGCTTTTGGTAGTGGTTTAAAACTCATTACGTTATGGCATGCATGATATTAAAATTTCTAGGAGTCAAATAAGTGACATTATTAATCAGAAAGGGAAAAACCATCAAGCAATACTTCTACACAGTTCCATTACTGCAAAGAAAGTTTCAGTAATGAGGTAATGATTGCCACAGGATTCAGCTATAACAAGAAATTGAAAAGAAGGAAAGTGGGGAAAAAATATTAAAATCAACTCAACGTACAATCCAGAGAACATTTCACATTTGATATTTGTGAAAGAAATTCTATTTCTTTATTCCAATTACTTTCAAAGAGCGAAACTTCATCACGGCAAAGCACCAATTCATACTTTAAAGAATACCATTGCATGCTTTGAAAAAGTGCAGACTGATACAGGTACTGCATGTATATCTTTTCAACTTTTTCATTTTAAGTTCCCTCACATTTCACTATTATGCTTTGGTTTTCTGAACTCTTTCCAATTCCCCATGAATGATGGACTCTGGAAAGTAGTAGAAGAGGAATAGAAATAAATACTCCTGGAAATTTTACGAAAAGCCCTTCTATCATGAAAATCACTGTGCAGATTAAATAATCTAGAAAAAAAACTATCAAATTGAACTTTTTTAAAAGTGCTCTTTATATTTTAAACATTAATTAAATGAACCCCAAAATCATTCTAATAATGTGTAAATACCCCCTGTATTTAACATATTGCAATTAATAACATATATTGCTCTTGATATTTTTATTCTATAACTTGCCTTGATACTGCAAATTTAAAAAAAAAAAAAAGTGTTCGCTCAATAATTTTGGTTAAAGAATTAATGTTATGATTTCAATAATGTTCAGCATGGACAGCTTATAGGTATCTCCCCCCCCCCACACACATACATATGTTTCATGTCATAGGATTGGATATTAAATCTTCCTGCTTGCCTGCAAGAAACTTTAATGATGCCAAAAGAAACAATTCATCTGAATTAAGAAATAGACAGCGTTAAGGGAACAGTTACTAAGCTTAGTCTATCAGAAAAATTAATGAAGGTTTAATAATTTCCTTCATGCTTTTTTTTTAAAGTTTCAATTGTTGAATTTATTCTGAAGCAAACATTTATCAGAGAATGTGTATAATATCTACATAAAAACTTGGCATTAAAACTTTTTCTATTTATTTTTTACTCACTATCTCTCTTAATAAGGAATCTTAATGCATTAACACTGTTTGAATTCTTAAATTTAACCAACTCTGGTCAATTTTCAACAACAAAGATTATGGTTTGAGTAATTTAAGTACAAAGAGATGTCAATTAAAATTATATTTTATGCTTTGAAGAAAGATTTAAAATCTACATTTTGATAAAAAATCACATTTTTTCAACAAGTAGAGCAAACAAAGCTTTATTATATTTTTGTTTTTTGACCTTTACTCACAGCTATCATTTACTTAAATATCTCCCCCCCCTTTTTTTTACCAATTTTGCATCTTGAAAATTGTGAGAAGAAATTTATGCACTGTATACAATATTTGCTTAAAATGTTCCAAATATTACAGTAAAAAGACTTACACAGCAAGATATTACACATTAGTTGTGTATGATTGTTACAATTATACACAAACACAATGGTCATTGAAGGTTCAAGTAATTCCACAGGGTGAGATAATGAGTTTTAATTAATTTTTGTTCGATACCATTTTGCAACATTTTTGGTTTTAATTTCTCCACAGGGCCAGCACCACAGCCAGTACACTCACAGTAGCTGACAGAATTTAGGGTCAAAAAAATTGTCAGCAGTAACAAGCTGGAAAATTTTTAGGTGGAAAGTGCAGGATCGCCCACTGCTTGGCGTGTTTTTAAGATTTGTACATACTTGGAATCCATGTACACATCAACCTATTTTTCACTTAACAATTCATCCCAGAATTGCACAAAAATGGCATTGCACACTCTCTTGACTTTATCTATGTACACATCGACCTATTTTCACTTAAAAAGTGAAATAAATCTGAAAAAAATCCAATTCTTCTTACTCTTGTAAAAAGAGCCAAACAAATAAGTGGGCGATTCTGCACTTCACCCATTTTTAGAATTCAGAGCAGGTTCTAGGCAGAAAAATTAAGAGACAACAAAATTTTTAGAATTTAAAGAGGTGCAGAGCGTAGGACCTGTAAAGACTGCACCAGGTAGCAGATATTTCTACTACTGGCCCTGTTTCACAATATATTTTCCATTTTGTTATTCACACAACTTTTCTAATAAGTAATTTACTATTTATAAAAGAGTACTATCATTGACATTTAAAATAAATTTAATGTTCAACATATAACTAGGATCAATTAATAATAAGTATTACTATTATAATTATCTTTATAACTAGTATAGAGACTTATTAGGCGAAATGTATATTATCATTCTATATCAAAAAAACATACATCATGTTCGTAGAAACTTCTTTTATAAATCAACATTATACAGGTTTTCTAATAGTTTTACATTTACTATTGAGCATTGCGTTTTTTATTTATATACATACAGACTACTGAGGTTAAATAAAATTATATACATAAACAGCTTTAAAAAAAATACAGTACTCAGTTATAAAACAGGGAAAAAGTGTATTCTATACCCATTCAGTATCTCTCTCTCTCTATATATAGATAAATATATTTGACAAATAACTGCACTATTGACTAAAATTTTTTATTAGCATTTAATTCATTTCATCATGAGATAACAATTATTGAAGAATCCATAACACTTTTAAAACAAATGAAGATACTGGTTAATTTGTTTATTACAGAATACGGAATTTCCAATTAATTTCATGCTGTACTAAATAACACCGTTCCGATATTAAAGTGAAAAATCTGTAAAAAGTTAAAGTGGTTTCTAAGGAGATGCAGGCAGGGGAAAGTTTTAATTATTATACATAAAATTTAAATAACCAAAACCAAATTCATACATAATTTTTACATAAAGAATCAGCAGAGAATATTTAGACAATATACTTACACTACAAATCTTCAACACTTCGTATACTCGAGTACGTAAAGACTTTTCCATTTGTAAACTAAAACAAACATCTCAAACCGAGACTTTTCTCGGGAGGTAATTTCCCGTTTTGTCGATGCTTGATTGGACAATCTTAGAAAGGAGGAGCTAATATTGCGTCATGCAAGTTTCACTGAAACTGCGTCATCCCAAAGCAATCGGCGCTAGCGGGATGTCAGGTTGATTTTTTTTTGTTGTTGTTGTTTCATATCAACCCTTGGATAAGACCAAGGAGGTTAGAATAGATGGATAAGACCGAGCAACATTGACTCTTCTTCGTGTCAGTGTTGTCTGAAGCGATACTTGTTGAACTAAATAACTTTCTTTTTCTTGCAAATTTATACGGAAATTTAAAATTAATCTGAACCAAGGAGTTTTGATAAAAAAGAAAATTGATTAATTTTACTTTAAGGAATGTAGTTCTGAAAAATTAATTTTCTTGAACACAAGAAAAAGGAAGTGAATATTAGATGCAAACGGATTTTTTTTTTTTTTTTTTTTTTTTTTTTTTTAAGTATTAAAAACAAATACCTTGTAATCCGGCTTATAACACGCACCGGTAAATAATGTGCATCTAAAATTTCAAACTATATTTTTTAATTTTTAGGTATATTCTTCGTATAACGCAAACCATTTGCTCGAAACAGACACATGTGCTCGTATCTTTTAAGGTCATTCATTCGAAGATTTTTCCTATACTTTCGAACAATGGTATCCACTGAATTGACAAGCACTAAGGGGAACAATATGTGTGTGTGTGTGGGGGGATACTTAACGGAGTAAATAACTCTACAAAGAGTAGGGGGTGTACTCAATGCAACTGTGTACAAGAATATTATTCTAGGTTTAAAGAAAAGGGGGACACAATTTGGGGATAAGAACGAACTTCCGATGAATTCGAGGAATTAGGAATGAGATGTTTTCTTAGAATGAATGAAAACACAATAATTAATATGCTTTGAACAAAGGAAATTAAATAATAATAAAAAATTATTCGATAATGAAAATTTTTAAGTTTATACAGTGTGTTATTTCTTTTAAATAAATAGCATTTAGGTACATTGCGCAATAAATAAATAAATAAATAAAATGGGACAGTTCTATATCTTCCGTTCTACTGGGTCGATTGACGAACTTCAAATTGCGTTTTTCATGCCTCGAAAGCGCGACTTAGGATGTATATTAGATTTATATATAGCAATGTTCTAATAAAGGTATTTTGACAGAAAATCGGACTTCTTCTGAAAAGACATGTCAATTTTTTTTCCATATTTCAATTCTACGACTCAAATTATGTCTAAATATTAAATTTTGTAAAATTTGGTGGGAAATTTACATAGAAGTTCAAAAATTTATCTTGACGGTTTTTTTTTTTTTTTTCCCAGTTTGCACCAAGAATAAGTCACTTGGCGAACTTGTAAATATATGGCAACCTAGTTTCCTTTCCCTTTTTACATTGCGCATAAGTGGAAAAAGTTCACCTCGTTCCTGTTTTCAAATAATTTTAACAAAGTGCCTAAACCACATTTCAAGTTGCATCGCTTTCAACGAATATGCCAAATTTCCAAACGCGCCAATATATAAATTCACGTATTTCTTCGGAAATTTTGAACAAGCTGTAATTTTTTGCACGCATACTTAGGAATACATCTACTTGAAGATGATGATAAAAATGTTACAGATTATAATTCAAATTTTTTTTTCGAAAAATTTATAATAATTATTTAAAAAATACAAATTTTAAAGATAAATTATAAAAAAATGGGCGAATTTTATTGGAAGGAATCTAAATTTCTAAATGTGAAAGGAAGAATCAAATAAGATTAATAAAAAAAGAGATATTAATAAATATATGTTAAATTCAATTAACATTGAGGAGCTAAAATTTTTAGAGCTAATTTTTTAAAACTACTAGTGCGATTTTTACAGAACTTGGCACTTTGGCATAATTTGAATCTTAGAATCGAAATATGGAAAAAAATTGGCTTGTCATTTCAGAATACGTCCGATTTTGTATCAAAATACCTATATTAGAACAATGCTGTATATAAATCTAATACATATCCTAAGTCGCGCTTTCGAGACAGGAAAAACGCAAGTTGAATTTCGTCAATCGGTCTCGTAGAATGAGAGATATAGAATTGTCCCCCCCTTTTTTTGGCACAGTGTACATGTAGAAATCAAATTTTTGTATGCTTCATATAAAATATTTAGACCAAAGGGGCAATTTGCCCAGAAGGGCTATTAATTTCATTTTGGCATTTTGCATCGATTCACTATAAACGGTGAATCAATTTTCAAATTGTTGCCACAAAATATTATCGCCCTGTGTTATATTTAAAGAAGTGAAATAATGAAGAAATCTACATAAATGTATGTATGTTTCTCACAGTGTAATAAAACAACGGTACCTAGAGCTATCAAATTTTGATTGACATAACCTTCCACTGAATATGGGCATCTGGAAGCCCAAATTTAGAATTTGAAATTTGTTCTATTATCCATTTCATGTTTTGTAAAGCATTTATGAGATTTTGATTAAGAAACTCAATGATTTCAAAGCGAGCAATGTCAAAACTGTACGAAAAAAATTATCTCCAGCACGCGAGACTGTGTATCGGAAATTCTAAAGATATGTTCTTTTAAATGTTTTGTGATATTGCTGTTGAATTGAGTTTTATGGTATAAGTGCGAAGAACATGATATTTAATAAATAAAGGTAACACACAAAAAGTTAAATAAAGATCCTTTGGGCGTAATGTAAAATCTAAAAGCTTTCAGATATTTTTTTTTAAAGTATCATTTTGATATCCAGCATATAAGGTGCACTCCTAAATTTCGATCTTATATTTTGTATTAAAAGTGCGCGTTATGCGCGGGAGTATGCGGTAATTCATTCATACCCTTTTGTACCGCTAACAATACATTACTCATATTTATGCATTGTTTGCCATTTAATAGTGTTTTCATTCGTGGTCTATTGGGATCATCTGTTGGCATTATATAGAAATAAACTTGACCATAAGTTGAATGGAGCAACGGGAGCGAAGCTTCCTTTGTTCCGCATGTGTTACAAAGCGTGTTTTAAAAATTCCTTGATTGAATAGAAAGAATTAAGGGAAACAGCAAAGCGGATGAGAAAGGTCTTTAAGGAGGTTTGATTAAAAATTTGTAATATTCAAGCAGAGACAATGTCAGAGAAAAAATTCAAAACGGATTAGAGCTGTGACCCGAAGTCAGCAAAAGTGGAAGAGGGGGGGGGAGAGAATTAAATTATTAGAGTGTTAGCAAGGTATGCGTATTTTTCCAGCGGAAAGGGACTGTGTTTTTGATTGCAGATGATTGGATTTTGATGATGTTTGACTGAAAGGTAGAACTTAATGGCTTTGCGTCTAATGTAGTCATTGATATATTGAATTTTTGTGTCTAATGTAGAATTGATATATTGAAAGTCAAGGTGGATGGCATAGTTCCCTACAACCCAAGGAGCGTTAACAATCATTCAGAGAGTCTTGTTTTGAAAAATCTGTAGCTGGTGAAGATTCGATTTAGCAGCTTGACCCCCAAATACAAGATGCGTACAGGAGAGCTGGACGAAGGACAGACCTTACACAGCATAACCTTGTTTTTGATGGAAAGCTTGTTGTTGTGTCCACGAGGAGGGAACATATTGCAAATAGTCTAATTACATTTTTCATGAACTTTCTTGAAATGGTTTTTGAAGGTGAGTTTCCTGTCGAGATTTACTCCAAGACAGATAATGTAACTAGTCCATTCTGTTGGTTCGCCAAAGAGGAGGAGGACATCTAGAGTTCGCTTGGAACTTCCTTTTTCGGAAGATAATTGAGGCAGATTTTTTTTTATCTTGACAGCAATGAGCCATTTGGTATACCAGTCTTCAAGAGCAAGAAGATAGCTTTGAAGGAGAGTTTTAACGTATTTATAGTTGGCTGCTTGAGTCAAGATGGCGGTATCATCCGCAAAAAGAGCGAGGTGAATCCTCGGATCGTGAGGTATGTCATGAATGTATAGATTATAAAAGATGAACCCAAGCACATTTCTCTGGGGGGGACTTCGGCTTTAATGCGGCGGAAGAAGAGAAGGTACACCCCACTCGTACCTTGAAGCTCCAGTTGGTGAGGAAGGAGGCTATGAGGTGGATGACAAAGACCCCGGAGAATAAGTTGGATGTGTTTATAAGTCCCTGGTGCCAGAGCTGAAGAACAGAATCGTAAATGCCTTTGCAATGTCAAGGAAGACGGCCCCAGTGTGGATCTTGGCACTTATGCCCTCAGTCATGATGCTGACTACTCTAAGGATTTGATGAGTGTGTAGCGGCAGCGCCAAACAGGCGATACAGACTCAAAAACTCTGGAGAAAAGCGCCAATTGGCAAAACAGTAAATCTGCTTGACAACCCTACGGGCTGACGGGAAGAGAAGAATTTTTCCTCGGCAGTTCTGGGTAACGACTTCAGTCTGCGTGTGTGCGTGTCTGTGAAACAACTCGTCTTGTGCCTTCCACGTGATATGTAACGCCGATCTGTGGTGGGACTGTAAACTTCCTTAAACCATTATTATGTATCTATATTACTTCTCCTTATTAAATCTCATTCTTAATGTTAAATGCCTATCTCAATTAGATTGCTATTTTTCTAGTTAAGGTTATCTATACTTTTGTAGGCACGCGTTACTCGCGCGTACCTCAGTGGTAACCCTGTCTCTCGCTCCTTCTATTTCAGATTCCTAAAGGCTATCCGTCTCAATCTTTCTTATAAAGCTAAAAATATGCCTTATTTTGATGAGAATGCTCTTTTTTCTGAGTGATAACTGCTGCATCCTTTTTATTTTCCTTAATTTCTTTCTCATTTTATGGTACGGATTACACTTTGTTATCACACTGTTAAGGAGGATTTACAGGTATGCGATCAAACTTTTTCCTTATCTGTGATTGGTCTTAATGTGCTTTTGTGATATATTTTGCTCTAAAATTATAGTTTTAATTTAGACTTAATTATTCATTGTTTAAAATTGATCTTTGTGTAATATTGGTATATTTTATTGAGATATTGAATGACTTCATTATTTTATTCTAAACTGATACGTAAGTCCTAAAGCATAGTGCAAAACATTAAGTTAACGATTTACGATATAATTATAATTGTTAACCATGCCAGGATCGGAAGGCCAAACCAACGACGAATCCAATGTGGTGGCACAGGAGCCACAAATCTCACACGTGGAGGTTAAAATTCCCCCTTTATGGAAAAATAATGTTAAACTTTGGTTTATTCAAGTTGAAAGTAACTTTGCTATAGCAAAGATTAGTAACGATATTACGAAATATAACCACGTGATTTCTTCCATAGACCCTGAAACTCTTTCTGCAGTATCAGATATTTTATTTAATCCCCCGCGACGGAAAAATATAATGCCCTAAAAGCTAGATTAATAGCGGAATTTTCGGATTCGGAAAACGAACAAATACGCAGACT